ATGTGACTGTACATATGAGTACATACTTGTACTCAACAAAATCTAACAGCAAAAGAACAAACAGTCACAGTTTCACTGTGATCCTTAACTTGATTTATTAACTCAATTTCTTTGATACGTTCTCTGGCAGTGAACGGTTGATGAGTCGGGGATTAATTAAGGTAAAGGCAAAGCAGAGACTTCGTGTCTGTAGATCTGCTGTGCAATGGCCTTACGTGATCTCTGGCAGCAGAAAACAGCCACTAAGAAGTGTCAGGATACCTAGAAAAACGATCATAAAATATTCAAATTCAGAGGAAAGGCACCATTCCTCATGTGTTGCCACAACTGAACGACAGGTGAGGTATGGGAACCCCAAGCACTGCCTGCACAGAGCCCTGCTCCCTATCCAGGGCTGAGGGATGGGAAGCTGCCAGGGCTCTTCTGGGCCCTTAAAATTCTCTCTCTAAATCCTTAATCCAGCTGCACTTCCATAATAGTCAAATAAGGTCTTTGATTGCCCACTGAGTGCAATGGGTGCAGATATTTAGGGGTGCATTTTAGTCAGATAGAAAATGAAACCTCAGACTCTATTGTTTCTGTCTTTCCATAAGTGGAGAATTTTAACTATTTTTTCCCCCCAAATAAACATTTAATTCAGGTAGGAAATGTAATGCCCAAAGACTGAACTTCTTAAAATGGCTTTTCTGCAGGAGTTGCTCCTGTAGGCAGAGAGGGACATTGTCCAGCACAGCCTGATCAGACACAACTCCTGCTGCCCTTCCAGTATCCCTCCCCCGTGTCCCCAGCCTTGGGATTGGGAAGATCTGCCTTAAGTCTGCAATTTAATTACAGTCTGTAGTTTCCATTCTTACTGAGTAAAATTATAATAAACAAATTATCTAGATCCAGTTAAAAAACCCTCATTGTTATCTTATCTTGCTTTGGTTTTACTCACAAAGATGTGATTGAATTAATGAGATTAAACAAACAGCTACAATCTCCCAGGAAGTGGAGAGAGATTACAGGTAATTCTGAAATCTTTCGTAATGGTGCAGCATTAAATAATGTAGAACCAGCTGTAAGGCCAACTGTGCTACATTCACATTGTTGGTGTTTAGTGAAATTCTTCCATGTTTTCTGTGTTAAAGAAAATACCATCTCTTGAATGAATATTAACTGGCATGTCTTAGTTAAAAAATTGAAGGAAGTCTTTTGAGGTTATAATTATACACAGTCACAACATGCATAAGAACTGTTCCTTGACCAGAGGTGTAGGGGAGAGGCAGGAAAGTTTGGAATAAAGGTCTGGTGATCCCTTGGTGTTCCTGTAGAGCTCCAGGGCCAGCACAGCTCTGAGTGAGAAATGTTCAACATTTCCTGCCTTTGTATACACAGCACCTGCCACAGCCCTAAAGAAATGTCATCAGGCTGCAGAATTACACCCAGGGCAAATATTCATGGTTGATATTAAGGGCTTTCTTCAGCCCTTTTGAGGCTTATAGCTCAGCAGTGAAAGGAAGAGTTTTAAGGGTTATTTACAATTTATGATGTATTCTAGAAGTAACCTTCCCTGAATGTTGAGACTGACACAAGCAGTTGAAGTGCTTCTACTTAAATGGTTTTACTTAAAGAAAATAAGGTCCAGTCTGGATTCCCCCAGCTCTTCATGAGAGTGTCAGCACCCCAATTCCCCCTCAACAGTCAGGAGTAAGATGCAGCTACATCTTTGGGGTGACTCTGTGATAAACCAAACTGACAGAGTAACTGCAAAGGAGGAGGGAACATTTCCATGAGGGAATGAGAAATAATTTTGCTGGTAGGGAGTACTCTAACCTTGAGGTGAACTGGAAGGTGTTGTCACATATCCAGCGCAGAATCAAAGCTGTGATCCGAGATGTGATCCTTTTCCTTCCAAACTGTGTAATCCAAAATCCAGGCTTCCTGTAACATAAAGTCTTGTTACACAGGGTTGTGGACAAATGCTAGAATCTGGGGAAAATTTAATGCAGGCATAGCAAACTCCTGTGACATTTTTACTGCGTTGATCAGTTGTTTATTCGATTTCAGGATTACCACGGCCTGCCACAACACACGTGTTTGATCCCTGGATGATCACGGCCTCACTGGAGTAGCAGCAAGGACATCTCCAGGCTTGGTGGTTCCTAAACCAGCAGAAATCCCCAACCACTGCAAGCTCTGAGCAGTTTTCTCTGGAAACCAGGGAACAGGTCATGGACCGCATTTCAGGTGCCTACCCACACGTATGAAAAGAACATGCAACAAGGACATAAAACAAGCAAAGAGTGTGAATATAGACCTAGAGAAGGACCAGAGACAGCAGGAATACTGAGGAGTGTCTCTACACCCAATGTTTTTGGTTGTTTATGCCAAATCCAAGGAAACAGGATCCCGCATACACTCCCCATGAAAAGACAGCATTGCACTTGCATTTTTACTTTGGCTTCACTCCTCCCCTCCCCCTTGTATCATTTTTATTTAATTGCTTCCTTCCCCTTCCCTTTTTCTTCCTCTTTGCCTATTTCCACCCTTTCACAACAGACAAGAAGCACAGTGACGACATTTACAGCCTTCACATCTCCCAGGCCTCACCCCCTCCCTGGGGGCTCCACATTCCACTCACCAGCAGCTCCCTGGAGCAGGGCTCTGCCCAGAGGCCACTGTGCCCTGCTCCCAGTTGGCCAGCCCAGCCCCTAGGTGGGTTATTATTGTAATAATAAAGAGATCACAAATATTCTTGCCCTTTTCTCTGATATTAAGGACCAGAGTCCAGGTCTCAGGCAGCCGCAGTGCTGGGCAGCCTCAGCCCAGGTGCGCGGTCACCTCAGCCAGCAGGTCCTTCAGAGAGGGCTGTCCCTGTGCAGGAAGGGTTTTGTCTCCATTCTCAGCCCCATGTGCGACAACCCACCCCTAAGGGGAAGGAAGGGGGAGGAAGATGCTTCATGGAGCACTTCAGGTGCTACCACAACATGAGAGGACCTGGGAGAGGCACAGGGTCCGCAGGAGGTGACTGAGGGGGGGGTGACAGGTGGCAGCAACTGAGGGGAGCCCTCACCTGAGGGGAGCACGGGCCTGAGGGGACCCTCACCTAAGGAGTCCCTCACTGAGGGGATCCCTCCCTTGAGGGGTCACTCAGCTGAGGGGAGCCCTCACCTGAGGGATACCCTCACCTGAGGGGAGCACGGGCCTGAGGGAAGCCTCCCCCTGAGGAGCCCCCTGGCCAGACGGGATCCCTCGCCTGGGGGATCCCGGCTCGTGGGGCCGATCCCTCACCTGCCGGTTCCCTCCCCTGGGGCGGGTGCGCGCCGGTGGGGCGGCGGCGGGTGCGCGCCATGCGTCGCCGTCGGGGCCGCGCCCGTGACCGCGCGCGATGACGTCAAGCGGCGCACGCGGTCCGCGGCGGGGGTGCGCGCGCCGGCGCGGGCCGGGGGAGGTGGCGCGGCCCCGCGCCCATGTGGCGACCGTGGAGGCGGGCCGGGCAAGAGTGGCGGGAGCTGGAGAGAGGAGTCCGGGCAGCTCCGAGGTGAGCTGTGGGCGCGGCGGGGCACGGCTGCCCGGGCGGTGTGAGATGCGGGGCAGGGCTGCGCGGGCGGGGAGATGCGAGATCATTCGCGATGCCTCGCCCGGTCCGCGCGGTCTGCGGCGTTCTCCCGCCACTGCCGTTCCCGGCTCTTGCTCCGCATCCTTTCGCGGGCCGGCCCCGGCTCGTCTCCTCCGCGCCCGGCTGGCAGTGGGGCCCGGCAGAGGCGGGGTTGGGGGTATCCCCGCCCCCCGGCCCCGGGCCAGCCCCGCAGGCGTCGCCCCCGCCCGCCCGGGGCGCACGCGTGCTCGGGGCTTGGCCGCGGGGTGCCCGCGGGATGCCCAGCGCTGCGGGGATGCGCATCCGTGCGGGGCACAAACACCCGGTACCCCAGGCAGGTACTACGAACACATCTGGGACATCCGGACCGAACCATGGCAATGCCCCAGCTACCTCTGGGGATGCACCGAGGGGACGTGGTGCCGCGCTTCCCACTGCCGGAGCAAGGATGGAAAAGGGGGACCTGGGGTGGCCGTGCGCCCCTGGCACGGCACAAAGAATAGCGGAGGCAGCGCCTGCCCTGCCAGCATCTCTGCACAGTTTGATTTCCCGTGATGGGGTACAAGGGCTTCAAATGCTGGTTCTCCATCTCTCAAAGGTACACTGAGGGACAGAGAGGCCTCAGAGCAGGGGCCAAGAGCTGTTCTGCAAGATGCTTTTACCTCCAGAAGCCTTCCTCTCCCTGCATGTCATCAGTGCTGCACCTACACACGTGCTTTAAATCTTAAAGCCTGTTTTAAAGTACGACCGGCTGTTCTCACTCTGGAGGCTGTTTTAGCCTCTTTTAGGCTGTTAAACAGAACGTGTACACAAGAAAAAAAGTGTGATTTCCAGATTTAGCTCGTTTTCTTAATTAAAAGTCAGTTCAGGTTGCATGTCTGTTAGCAGGAGAGGCTTGGTGCTGGGAGAGACCAGCTGGCGTGGTTTTGTTGGTCACTTGTTTGCTGTGTGTGCTGACTGTCTTCAACCAGCACCTGTCTGACCTAAACCACAGCAAAATGTCAATAACTTGTCCCTGCCTCAGTTTCCCCACCCATGAAAGGAAAGTGGAAATACCTCTCAGTGGAGTGGAAGCTGCTGGTGGCACGAGGTGTAGTTGGCCAGTGATTAGCACTGTAGAGGTAAAAAGCTGGAATAACATCCACGATCAGGGAGTTCTTACGTGTTGCAGAAGAGGGGAACAGAGAGGTCATGATTCTGCTCCAGCTCCACGAGTTGCTGGTGGTGCTTAAATGTGCTTTGGAGGAAGGTCCTGTACTCCTGAACCGGCTTCAAGTCAAACCTCAACTCTAGAGTAAGAAAGTGCTTCCATCTCTATGTCCACTCATACTTGCCCTTGCTCGTGGCTTTCTGAATGCACTTGCAGCATCTCTTGCTCTTGAGGAGCCTGTTTTCCCCAGCAGCAGCTTGACCCCCCTCCATGCCTGCATCTCCTCCTGTCAGCACCCTTTTTGGCTGCCCTGACTCTCATCTCCAGCTGGAAATGCTGGTCCAGGACCATGTAGGAGCTGCTCTTCATGGCTTGAAGGAGCTCTCTGTGGGTATTTCCCAAGGTACTCTGGTCACCCCCACTAAAATGGTCTCCCTTGCAATGCCAGCAGGGAAAATAAATAAATTTTGGTGGTCAGATTTTTTTGCTGTGTTGGGAGCAGTTCTGGTCCCCATGGGGCAAAATGATCTGTGTTTCTTTTGCACTCCTGCCTCGTCTCGTATTTTATAGTTGTCTTGTAAGTCCTGGATCAGGGGCTGCATCTTGGGCTCTGGTTGTAGCTCCTGCCCTGCCGTGCTGGCTGGCACAGGGCCCTGGGGGCTGCACTTGTATTTGGGTGTGGGGGGCTTTGGAGGGGCTGGTGCTGCTGTACAGCAGCACTGAGCATACCCCTGGGGCAGTGGGGACCCATGGGATGGGCTTGGGGACATTCAGGTTTGCAAAGCTCTTCTAACCAGCCACTTCTGCAGATTTTCGTTGTTTGGGTTGCCAGGGCAGCGCCTCATCTCTGAGACAGAGTCAGGGTTGTGGGGTGTTTCAGTTTTGGGGCAGGGATGTGGGAAAAAATGCAAGTTGCTCTGCAACAGTTTATTAATTTAAACCCTGAGAATGAACATGTCACAAGATTTGGATTAGGACCCTGCTGTCAGTGAGTCTCCTTGTAAGCACTGGTCTCTCTTGGCAAATAAATAACCCCACTTGTAGCAAATGTTATGTTCTTCTAAACAACAGTGTCATTTTCAAACCATTATCCTGATGTTTTTGGCTGGGGGTAAAATTTACCAGCTCTCAACTCGCCTATTCGTGTTTTCAATAAATACCTGAACCCTTTTTTGGCAAAGAGCTTTTTACGCCCTTTGAATCAGCCTTTTATAAGATGTTGTTGCGTGACATCTAGAGAAGCAAGATGAGTTACTCTGCAATCCAGGGAGCCCTGAAGTCCTGCCCATACCAACCAAAGCCAAAGTGATCCAGAAATGATGAGAGCTGCAGTACCTGGACATGGTTAGTTTGGTTATTAAGGTCTTTAAATTGGATACTGGAGCTTGTTTTGGTTTGTTCTTGTAAATAACAAACATTTACCAGCTGGATCCTGACAAAGGAGAGCAAAGATTTGGTTTGTGGGGTTTTACCACCATGTTTATGCTCTGGGAAAAGCAGTGGGAATTTTCTGTAGTCACTGAAGTGTTGGCAGATGAAGCAGCTGTGCCAACAGCCGTGTTACCTACGCTGTCTCTTGGCACTAACTCTGCAAACTCTGATTTCTAAGTCATTATAGATCTTACAGTTGGCCCAGAGGTCATTGCTTGGTGCCTGGTGAACCCTTCCTGAGACCTCTTAAACCAGAGTATGGGGCAGTAGGTTGCTTGGACATCCATAGGGTCAGGATGGCAGTGGTGGCCAGGAGGTGCCTAAACCCCCTGACCTGAATTTGTATCTTTTTTCCCCTCCCCTTCAGGTCCACATCATCTTTTTCCCTCCAGATTTAATCTGGCTGTGAAATTGGAGTGCCTGCTCTGTGATTTAGCCACCCATTTGATGGAGATGGATCAGGATCAAATGGAGGATTAGGAGATTGGAGGATTAGGAGATTCAAGGATTAGGGGCTTCATTGCAGGGTGGGACTGGAGTGAGGAGCTCCTGAGTGGGAAAGCTCATTAGAAAGAGGAAATTAGATGAGTGTAGAGAGGATGCTTTTCCTCTTGCAGGACTTTCATCAGTGTCCATTTAAGCCCTGTTGGATCTGTGCTGGTTGGCATCACCCCCTCCTTGCTTGTTTGCAGGGGTGCCTGTTGACTCCCAAAAACCAGGGGTTTGCTTGCTTCCCTTGGAGGGGAGGACCAAATGCCATGAGTAACCTAGAAGGGCTCTTCCTACCAACTGTCTCCTCTTCTCCTGCAGGAAACACACAAAGTTTACAGGCAGAAACTGGAAGAAGTCACCAGCTTGCAGACAGCCTGCAGCAGCTCCATACAGAGGCAGAAGAAGACACTAAGGGATCTGAAGCACAGCCTGCAACGGTAATGGGAGACCTGGAGGGGGGAGGAGTCAGGGATGGGATGTTTCTCCTTCCCAAAGGGCTCAAATGGTTGGATTTTTAGCATTTTAATGTACAGTCTACAGTTAATGTACAGTTAATGTACAGTTGCAGTGCTAAAGTTGCTCCATATTATAGCCAGGTAAAATGTTAATAACTGTATGAGAGATGGAGTCCTGCAAACAAAGGATTTTGAGGGAGCCAGTGTGGGTTTCATCCTTGCAGTGTGTCCCTGCAGCTTTTGGTCTGTGGGTTTTGCCAGGTGAGCAAAGCTTTGCTCCATAGGCTGTAACTGGAGGAGCAACATCAATCCTCAAACCTGGAGGTGTAACTTACCCCTAGGTGGATCTACAGGAGGGAGCTGTCTCTGGCTGCTTGGCTGATCCCCAGGAGCCACAAGCTGAATTCCTGGTGTGCAGGTCTCAGTACAGCGCCTCCAACACCCCGGGCTGCTGGCTCTGCTGCACATTGCTCTCTGTTTTACATTAATTGCTAAAACCACAGTTTGCCAGTAAATCATCAGCTCTGTGTCCTGTTACATCCTGCAGTATTTCATACCTGAAGAGCTGCAGCCTCGGCAAGGGCAGTGTGTGAAACCACACACAGAGTTCCCAAGGTGGAAGGAGTTCCTGCAAAAAAGCACAAAATTCCCAAAGTGCTCTGTTAGGGAAGAGCACACAGTCCTGTCACTGAGCTGATGAAAAGCGAAGCTGATTTATAAACCAGCTGGTTGAGGTAACTTACAGTAGCATAAACCTGGCAGTGAAATAAAGTCGTGGTGAACCAAATGGTGCTGCAGAAATACAGGAGCAAAGTGGGCTGTGGCATCACCTCACACAGTCAGCTTTTTAACAGCGTGGATTTTATGACAACATTATTTTCCCTTTAAATAAAAAGGAGGTGAAAACGTGAACAGGAATATCTTGTTTCTGTGCTCTTGCAGGTGCAAGCCCAGAGCGAGTCCTGAGGAGTTTGCTCTCATTCAGGAGATCAGCAACCAGATCAAGGAGAGGCAGAATGCCTTCTTTGACATGGAAGCCTACCTGCCAAAGAAGAACGGGTACGTGTTCCCTGGGGAGGCACACGCTCCAGGAAGGCTGATTTTTCAAGTATTCTCAGCAGTTTGTTCCTGAAGGATAAGGTGCATGTTGAAGACAGACATGTGAAATTGGATTAGTCATAAATCTCTTGCTGAGCTGCTGTGTCAGTGGTACACAGAATTCATGAGCTGTGAGTGTATGTAAATGCACTGTGTGTGTGGGCAGTGCAGGTTTTCTCTTAAAATGAAAGTAACCTGCATTGGTGAGGGATTGTGCAGTTCACTGTTCCATACTGATGTTTTTCCGGGCTAATTTTTTTAAGGATTGAATCAGCATAAGAATTTTCTCTTTTTTTTTTTTTTTTTTTTTTTTAAATAACATTTTCAACCAACTTTGAATTTATACTTTCCTTCGGGGGGGTTGTCAGGACAGATTTGTGACAATTGTCAAGCGCTCTGCGATGCTGCAGCCCCTCAGAAGTTTCTATCAGAAACTTTTCTTCCAATTCCTCCCTGTTATTTTTGGATTTGGAGAGTGCATGTTACATATCTCGTCCTTAGACTGTAGTGCAGAAAAGGGACCAGGAAAATAAATCTGTTCTTTAACTTCTTGGAAATGCTGACCAATCTTTCCACGTTTAGATCCTCTTCTGTGGTCCATCCCTCCAGTTTGCCTTAATTAAAAACCTCCAGCAAACGTGGCTTTGGCAGAGACATTGTCTCATCAACTCAATCTGGGTCATCCTGTGATGTTCAAATAAAACAACTTACTTGGGTCTGCTCTTGGTTTTTGTCTTTCAGCCTGTACTTGAATCTGGTGCTGGGAAACGTGAATGTAACTCTCCTGAGTAACCAAGCAAAGTGAGTGAGTGTTCCCACACGTGTGATTTGGGTTCCTCTGGGGCCAGCTGTGAGTCTGCACTAAAGTCCAGAGAGGGGAATGGGTTTCTCTCAGATCTGATGAGTGAAATGTCAGGGGTGGGCAAGTTGGACCATGACATGGGAACAAGCTAAGGCTTCATGTAGCTACAATTGAATTTGTCCATCACTTGCTTTTAAGCCCAGCCCAGCCTGTGGTCTAATTGTAAGGGCGGGGTCTTTTTGCAATGAAAAATGGTATTGTGACTTCAGGCATACAATGCTGCAGAAAATGGAGATTTATATGTTTTAAATCTTATCGTGCCAACCCAGAAAGCAGCTGATGGAGTTAAGCCATTGTCTTGCAGCAGAGACAGGCCCTCCCTGCAGGCAGAACTCTGCCTTTCACCCCTCTACTGCTTTTCTAAGTGTTTCAGCAAAATCTCTGTCTCTGGGCTTGGCATGTGGATTTGTGTCTGGTTTGAAAAAAGCGAAGCCCCACTGTGGTCAAACACCCGTTTGTGTCCATAAACAGTGTCTGTTCCCTTCCAGGTTTGCCTACAAGGACGAGTATGAGAAGTTCAAACTTTATCTGACAATAATCTTGTTACTTGGGGCTGTTGCCTGTAGGTTTTTTCTGCACTATAGGTAAGCTGCATTTTTACTTTTAATCAAGTATTTTGAATAAAAATGTGCTGGATTGGAACTAACTTATATCCTGTTGAGGATGGTGAGATGGGCTCTGGTAGTGTTTAGGCTTTGGGCAGTTGGACAGCAGGACACTTTCTGCTCCTCTTCAACTCTAGCAGGGTCTGTATTTTAGGTACTTGTTTTGCCTTTTTAAACTCTTTTGGGAGTCTTTTGTAATTGAGAGGAGTCAAACAACATGTTTCCTGATTTCTTTTTTTTTTTCTGGCATGATGCTGTGCTTGGGAACAAGCAGTTGCTTTTGTACATGGGCGGTCCTAGGGCAGGGACCGTGCTGCAGCTTTGGGTTTGCAAAGGCAGTGAGAGAGGATTTGCATGAAATAATCAGACCTGAAACGTTATCTCCAGGTTGTGATAAGTGTCTGAGCACCAACAAGCTTCCAGTATTTAATGTTGCTTAAAAACCAGGAAGATGTTGGAGCCAGACACTTCCCTGAGGTCTCTGTGAGTCTGGGTGAATGCAGGATTGTAGCAGGAATGATGCTGCCCTGTACAGAGACTGCCCCAAATCCCCTTAGCTTCAGGAGTTTGCAAATGGCAAAATAAAGTTTTGGTGGGTAGTTTTTTTCCCTTTCAGAGGGTAATGCTCTTCCTTCTTTTAGTTGATTGGATTTATATAGATCTCATGGAAATCTCCTCACTGAATTAGCCTGGAAATGTCTTTCCAAATTGGATCATCCTCTGCTTCTATGGTGCTTTCTCTCCTTCAGAAGGACTTAATGTCATCCCTGCATACCTGCTTATCAGCTCAGGATCTGCAGTGTTATATCACAGGGCACTTCCCAGGGGGGAAATGGCCCTGAACTCTTCAAGTGCTGTCTGTGTGCAGTTCTGCCTGAGGGTTAGAGACGTTCAGGACTGGGGCTTTGTGTCTGTGGCCTCACTTGGCAGGTTTTCATTCACTCAAGGGGAGGAAGGAAAAATAGGGCTTTTTGAAATGTATCTTTACAAGGAACAGGATTTTTTTTTTTTTAACTCTGTGGTTTTTTCTGTTTAACAGGGTGACAGATGAAGTGTTTAACTTTCTGTTAGTGTGGTATTACTGCACGCTGACGATACGGGAAAGCATTCTCATTAGCAATGGGTCAAGGTACAGTGCCACCTGCAAAAAACATGTAGGGCATGAAATGTCCTTAAAAGAAAATAAGAGACAAGTGAGGATTCAGCTTGGCACTGAAGCCAGCAAATATGAGATGCTGATGCCTCTCTGCGGGGTCTTGTCTCCATCCCCCTTCCTGGTTGCTTCCAAGGGCAGATGTGGCCACCTGAAATTTGGGGAGAGAGAAGTTACAGTTCCTAAAAGTCCCCAAGTTCTTGGTCCAAAGTGTTGGATGTTTATGGTAGCTGTGGGGTTTGTAGGTGTGCTGCTTTGTGTCAGAGTTCACACACTTTTGGTCAGAAACACCCCAAATCAATCCATGGCCAAACGCCCGAAATCAACCCACGCTGGCTTAGTTTCCAAGGCAGCTTTGGCTCTGGAGCAGCCCCTCCCTTCTTGATTCTGCTCCACTACAGCCCTTGCTCACTTTACTTTTGTTTTCTGAGCTCCCTTTAGTGCTTGTGTCTGAAAGAACCAGCCACCTCACAGGAAGGCCTTGGAAACATCACTTCCTTCCATGGCAGGGAAAAAAAGGGTGTGTGTGCTGACACTTGTGTGTCATTAGCCATGGAGGTGCCTCCTGCTCCAGGGGCTGCTGCTGCTGGATGTGCTGGAGAGCCCGTGGGAGCACGGGAGACATGCCCTGGTCCTGAGCCTCCCTCCAATGCCATGGATTTGTGCTCCCAACTAAACCACACTGCCAGACAGTGTTCTGCAGCATCCCTTGTGCTTGAGTTGGGCTGACTGTTCTGTTCCCTGTCCCTCCTTCCCAAGTCAGGATCATTTTTGTCCATAAAGCTGGGCTTTGGTGTTGAAATCCATGTTTCTTGTCTTAACTGCCACATTTGTTTTTTTTCTCAGGATCAAAGGCTGGTGGGTGTCCCATCACTACGTTTCCACGTTCCTGTCTGGAGTGATGTTGACGTGGTGAGTCTGCTGTCGCCTGCTCGAGGTGCTTCAAGCCTGTTCCACGGTGTTTATGTCATCTGAGCATTCAAATTCAGCGTGACAGGGAAGCTGTGGCCGCATGGGCTCATGGCAGAGGGTCAGACTTAATATTTGTTTGATGTTACAGATGTTTCCAGTGATAAATACAACACTGCAAGTTTGTATTTACGTTGCTGGTTTAAAAAAAGAAAGAAAGAAACACAAACCTTACAATGTAGCTGGGGTGGTGGTAACAAAGTCTCTGCAAGGCTCCAAATTTCTATCTCTGTAAGTAAGGAAACGAGCAGCACTTTGCTGCTGTAGAGGAAGGACACCACAAAATGAAGGTTTGGTGCCTTTATTAAACCCTGATTACAGAGTCCAAAGCCAAAAATACAGGGGAGTGGTGTCAGACAACCCAGCGATGCACCCCATGGACAGCCCCCATTCAACCCCTCTCATCTTGGGCATGAACTGATTAGTTAATTATTAAAATTTGTTTTAATTATTAGAAATTGTAAGGGGATGATATCATTGCTGGAGCAGAAGATCCCTTGTCCTCCATCTATCCTGAACTGCCCTCAGGATAATGAGCACAACCCCCCCCTTCTCCACCGCTCGGATTCTTGATGTGGATGATGCTGAATGGCTTTGCTGCCTAAAGAAAACTGGGATAATGGCAAAGATTTTTATACATGTGGGAGAGGGGAAAACTAATCAATGAGAGTGTTTTCTGTGTGGCTGTAGCACCTCTCTGGGCTCCCAGTGGGGTGGAATGGGCTGGGTACCAGCTGCTGCTTCGTTTGCTAATGGGATGAGGCTTGGTGGTACAGGGGAAGGGTGTCATGTCACCTGCTTTTAGCAAACTAATGGACCTCCCCTGTGTTTTGCTTCCAGGCCAGATGGACTCATGTATCAGATGTTTCGCAGTCAATTTTTAGCATTTTCAATATTTCAGAGTGAGTATTTCTTACCTTGCTAATTCGCAGGATAAAGTCATTTTGTGTCTTTACATGCTTAGAAGAAAACACTTCTGTTTGGTAAATACTGGAGTATTAAACTGTAGGAGTATAAAGATAGTGTACAAATATGCAGTCTACAAATATAAGCAATAATTAAATGCTCTTGGATTAAATATTATTAAAGTAATTTGATACTTATCATACCCCAGAATAGCCAAAGCAGTAATGTCTTCTCTCTCCTTCTCCAGGCTGTGTTCAGTTCCTACAGTATTATTACCAAAGGGGCTGCCTCTATAGGCTCCGGGCTTTGGGGGAGAGAAACCACTTGGACCTTACAGTGGGTGAGGTTTCCTGCAATGCTTTCTTTGCACAGTTTTGGCACAGGTTTTGAATGCAGTGATAGGGAGGGAGAGGGCTGTGTGGCCTTCGAGAGTGAGCTTTGCAGAGCTGCCCCCCTGCCTTGCTGCCTGTGTCCCAAGGCAGGAAGGAGAGCAAGGTTTTTATCCATCTCCTTAGGTCCTGTGGGTCAGGAGCAGAGGGATCTGATCTCTGTCAGCTTTTGAGGGGGTCAAGATGGAGGTTTTGGTCATCCCCATCTTCATCCTCCTTCCATTATCACACCTTCAAATTGGTTGGTTATTGCAGAGCAGGACAGGAACAGCCCTTACGGGGTGGTCTGGGTGGGGAAGAGCTGCAGCTCCAGTCCTGGCTCTTCTGTGCTCACACTCTGCCTGTCTGTCAACCTTTTCCAGAAGGATTTCAGTCCTGGATGTGGCGGGGGCTGACGTTTCTCCTTCCCTTCTTGTTCTTCGGGCATGTAAGTTGGGCAGTCCCGTTCTCCCCCTGGGTGCAGTGTCACAGCACCACACGAAGGTGCTTCGGATCACACATACCCATGAAGAATGTTCCCAGGGTTTCATTTTTATTTTGCTAGTAATGAAAATGCATTTTTTTTATCCCTTTGCAGTTCTGGCAGCTATATAATGCAATCACGCTTTTCGGACTGTCAAGGCACAAGGAGTGCAAAGAATGGCAGGTGTGTGTTGGCTCTGCTCGGAAAAAGCACGGGGCAGGGGGAGAGGGGGTGTTTAACCACATCCTGAAAGATATTTGGGCATCTGACCCCAATTAAATATTTCAGCATAATGCAGCACAGGGCCTGTTCTATGTCCAGTAGAGTCCAGCAGTGTTGAATATAATCCATGTTGTAATAGTAAAACGTAGTAAATGCAGCTTCTTCTCCCCTCTCAGGTTTTTGTGTTGGCTTTCACGTTTCTGCTGCTCTTCCTCGGGAACTTCCTCACTACTCTCAAGGTGGTGCACACTAAACTCCAGAAAAACAAAGACAAAGTGAAGAAGCTGTGAACCACCCCATTCATAGTGTGCATCCCTCTGCCTGCAGCAGGGCTGGGTTTGGGACAGATCCTGCTAAAGCCCAGCTCGGACAGATGGGCTCGGGAGGACTCATCTGTCCCCGTGTTTGGCAAAGGACTCTGCCAGCACAGACTCAGTATTATCTCAAGCATGGCTCTCCAGTCTGCAGTCCTGCTATTTATGTATATTTAATATAAAACATGTTTGCTTCTGGGTTTTTTTTTTTCTTCTGTATATAGAGCAGCATGCACCTGCCTGGCAAAGCGCCAGCGTTGGGGGAATGTGGGATCTACTGTAATTCCAATTCTGGAATGATACTTAACACTTTCCAGTTTTATTATTTAAATTCTGGTAATTGAATTTGCAAAGGGTTATAAACACTCTGGGTGGATCCAGGAATACAGAGCGAATGCTGTTTTTCAAGGCATTTGTTTAAGGCATATTTTCAGTGGCAATACTAAACCTGTGTGTACTGTGAAAAGAAAGTGCTCATCTTTGTACCATACTGCTGCTATATACACTTTTAAAAAGCCGTTTAAAGAAGAGAAATTCTCTTTAGAAAACAAAATCAAGCAAGCAAAAGGGGTTTTTAAATGGCAGGGAAGTCTGCTATCCCTTTTCCAGGGAGACCGAGTCATCTGTCCAGGCCTGAAAGGACCTAAAATAAACCATTCAATATGCAGCTGCTTCAGCCCCTTTTTAGTAACACACACACTGCCCTTGGGTTGGTTTTGAAACAGCATTCTGGAAAGGGGAGGACAGAAATATTAAATGCTCTCTTCAGATGCTGCACTTGTAAACACTGGTTCAGGAGGGTGGCATGGGACAAACAGTGCCTGCCATCCTGCTAAACTCCTTGTGCTGCTTGAACCTGAACTTGCTCATTAAAACACCCTTGTTTTGGGTGCTGTAATGTCTGTGCATCCTGAGCCAGCTGCAGCACTGAGCTGCCTTAGGCTGTGTCTTCCTCAGTGGGGAAGGTTCCCTCTGAGCCAGCACAGAGCCCAAAGTGGGCACATCCTTGGGCAGTGTCTGAACACGGTGCCCTCCTCCCCCTAAACGTGTTCATGAGGAAACAGGGACACAGCACAGATGGAAGTGGTTCCATCAGTGCTGTGGCTGCAAACAAGCAGAATTGCCTCTGCTGTGTCACTGTCCTGTGGGCATGAGCAGTGAATTGCAATTTGAGTATTTTCAACAACTTTCACACCAGCTGGGCTGCATCTTGTTATGTTGAATTTTGCACACCCTGTGAGGTTTTTAAATCCTTTGAACTCTCAGTTTATGAAATGTAAATTGCTTTATTTTGAGAGTGATGCTGGAACCTGCTCTATCTGAGCAGTGGAGCTGGTTTTGCAGGGGTGAGTAACGTGAGTTCTGCAGCATGAGAAACTCAGATTAAAAACTCTGAGAGATTTCCACTGGAGCTGATGGTAAATGTGGTCACTTCCTGTGCGTTGGTGTTTCAGTTTTGTACTGGGGAAGGTGATGGGTGGCTGTGTTTCTTTTACTGACAAATGTCTTCTTGTGGAGAAAAGGCTGCACAATTCAAGATTTTTCTATAGTCAAACGTGTGCATTATTTCTTTTAATTTTCCATTTTAAGCTCGTAGGGATTCACAAGCCTTAATTAAATCAAAGCGAGCTGAGAGAAGAACAAACAAAAGATTTTTCAAGGATCAAGATCTCTTTACTCTGCATGTAAAATAAAAATGATGGCTTGCTCCAAAAGAGAATTTTTTACCAGCTGCTCATGTAACAAGCAGAGGATAAAGTTGCACAAAATCTGTACAATGTACAGTTATAGTTAAGACAAAACTTCATTTCTGTCTCTTCAAAGGTGCCTGATAAACTGCTTTAAATATCACTACTTCTAAAACGTGGGTTTTCAGCTTTTCTGCTTGAAAAAGACAGCAAACTGTAGCTATAACATGCCACAATTATTTTGCAGAGAAATAAAAAAGCCACTAAGTCATACAGTAGTGGTTGCTGTTCATTGCAATTTAAATAGTGAGTTGTTTGCAGTTAGAAGCAAAAGCCAGATGGGCAAAGGCACACAGCATCAGTTAACTGTGACAAAGAGCTTTGAAAACTTTGAGAACAACGTAACAAAAGTGCAAAAATACTAAAAATAATTAAAATTTTAAAATAAAAATTGTTCTAGGAATACAAACATGTAATGAAAAAAAAAAGGTCTTTAAGGTTAAACTATTTATAAAATCTGAATCACTTGGCTCTTGTGCAGTCCAGATCATAACACTGAGCACACTTTCCTTTTCCTGTGGCGCTTGGCTTTTTTCATGGCATTCAGTGCAATGGTTGTTGCTTCTTTAAAAACATTTTCTATGTTTTCCCGGCATTTTGCTGAGCATTCCAGATAAACCTCTGCGTGAATCTCCTGACAAGCTGCCTCTCCCTGGAAAGAACAAAAAAAAAGGTAAGAAAAGATGTGAATCTGGTGGGTGAGAGAAGGAAAGTGAAATGGGGAGAAAGGGGAATTATTTTGCACATCTTGGTATCATAGGGTCAGGAAGAAAGCAGCTGCCTCTGACTGCAGTGCCAGAGTGAGTGGTATTAGTAATATACTGAAGCACTGTAAATAAACTTGGGGTTTTTCCACTGTGCTGATCCAGAGCCTGGCCTGAGAGTTCAGAGCACTAGAGACTCTTAAGATGCAGAGTCCTGATAGCACAAAAATATTCTCAGTATTGAATTTCTTTAAACTAATTGCTGAGGTAGATACTTAAGTGAGGATAAGATGTCTACATGGCGATATTTTTTTTCAGGCCTGACCTTAACTACTCTGTGATGTCACCTTGAGTAATGAATGTCACATGCAAGAACAGAGTCTGGACTGGTGCCTTGCCTTGTTTTGCTGGTGCACATGCAGGAACCTCGACTTTTGCTCTGAAGCATCACAAGGGCTCAGCCAAAATCCTCATGTACACAAATGGGAGCCTGTGTTTCCCAGCCTCACCCAAATGCATGCAATGGGAACAGACTCGAATCTAAAACATTTCCATGCAATCCTGGCTGTGTGAAATCACTGTAGATAAAACACAGCAATTTCTTACTTTGCTTGTGATCCTTTTATTGTCAGTGCAGGGCCAGCTCCCAGGTTTGAATGCTTGTGAGCCTTTCACTGTGAATTCCAGGTCTGCAACCCATGACTCACAAAGTGCATTTATTCATTATGAGCCCTGGGAGTGGAGTCACTTGAGCACTTGGGCTTCTATAGGGGGGATTTTCTTCATATTTAAGCAGTTTCTCTCCTTCCAGTTGTTTGCAAGCTGCAGTGCTGGCAGAGACTGTTCAGCTCCTCTGTGCCTGGCTTTGGAAGCATCATGTCCTGTGACTCAAGATGCCACCAGCTGTAAAAGACTGAGGTAGTGCATATTTCAGGGGAGAAAAACCAAGTGGGAGGGCTCACAGAGTAGACAAAGTCTGTACATCAGGTGGGCCCTTGAATTTAACTGCATGAAGCCTCAGCAGACTCGCCAGAAGTGTCTGTTGTTTGCCCTGAGCCTCACGTGCAAGGGTGGTGGAGGGAGTTATTCGTGCAAATGAGGGACAGTGTGCAGCTGTTCACTGTGACAGGGTGGGATCTCATCTTGTGTGCAAGGGAGACAAAACTAAAAGGCCCAGCATGGTTTTGTGGTGATGCAGTAGCAGTTTATTTTCCTGCTGTTTAGCAAAAGTGGTGATTCATTCAAGGTCGGAGTGCTCTTGACCTTGTTCCCTGGACATGTGTCTCAAACAGTCCAAAAGCTGCTGCTCTGAGGTGAAAGGAGAAGGATGGCTTTGTAGTTTTAAAAAACAAAAAGAAATGAAAAAGTGGAAGACCAGAGCAAAAAGGTCTTGTGTGACATGGGACAAGCTGTTCCATCACTTCCTCCTGTACCTAGGAGAGGTATACTGGTGATGTAACATTAGTTATTAGTCTCACTGCTTCAAAATACTTAAAAACATCTGATAATATGCAGGGTTTTTAGTATTGCTTTAGAGACTTCAAAAAAGCCTCTCATGTTAGAGAAACCTTGCAGATGTTCTTGCTATTTTCCTTGGAAGGATTTATTTTTAAATAGGGTTTGCAAACCACATTTATTCCAGAACAGTCAGTATATTTAATCTTGTAATGTGTATTCTACCATCTCCAGTCTTTATCCCAACCCTGATCAAAGCACCAGTGATGGCTGCAATGTAGGCTAATAAAAATTATGCAGGGAGTCCAGCAAACTTGTTAAGGCTTACAAATTTGTAACAGTAATAACCCAGCTGTGAAAGGAAATAAGAACGACAATAATGAGAATAAAATATGTAGATAGTAGTGTCCTTTCAGAGACCCCACAATATGCAAAATGCTCTTATTTCTCTTTACTTTTGCAGTCAAAATGGTGATTTGGCCACTTCCAAGAAGGACTTACAGAACCCCCTGTTAGTGCTGGCTGCCAGTCATTTCTTTAGCTGGACACTGCAGTCACCTAATTTTGGAGTGTCTGGGATCGTCCTCGTGAGGAGCAGTGCTACTGTGTGTGCTTTATCTCCTGCTAAGGGGCCAGCCCTTTAAACAGCCCTGCACTTACCTGGCTGTAAGTGATGGGTTCCTGCTTGGAAGCCCTGAGCTTGCGCAGCTGCTCCTTGTCCTTCCGAAGGTCCGTCTTGCAGCCGATGAGCACGAGCGGGACCCCTCGGCAGAAGTGGTTCACTTCAGGGTACCACTGGTGGTAGAGAAACAAAACTTTTACATCTGGCTTTGGTTTTGTTTCCTGAAATCAAAACAATAAAGCCGAAGAGCAGAACCAGCGTTTAACATAAGCTGCAATTTCAGAGTTTTGGAGTGGTTTATCCAGTGGTGGGGGCCCAACAGGCTCTGTTTACACTACAGAAATGTTTACAAGTCCTACCCAAAGTCAGCTGCTGTATAAAAACACAGTGGCATCTGTCACTAGGCCAAAATGCTTATTTAACATCTGTTTAAATTCAGACAAGATCCTCTAAAGTCATATTTAAACCAGAATTTGGACCAAGTCTTGCTTTGTTTTGCTGGTACTGTGTACAAGAGCACTAAGTTTTGCTTTGAAGCATTACAGAAATCCCAGTAGGGACAATTGGTTGCTCTCATCTCTCTCCTGTGTTAAATATGCATGTGGTGGAAGTAGACTTGACTCTAAAATGCTCATGTGCACTGTTGGTCGTTTGACATCACTACAGATAAAGCAGTGATTTCACCACTGCTCTTTGATCTTTTTAGTGTGTGTCAACCCCAGTTCTGAGCACTTTTGAGCCGTGGAGAGCTGAGCTCCAGGTCTAAGGTCTGTGACCTGCAGCTCAGCACACCATGAGTGATCTGTGCATCTACACACCCAGGGTACAGGACATTAAAAGCATCAGCATTTTTAATCTGACACCTTGTCATACATCAGGCGTCTGTAATTCATTTAGAAGGCTGAAGCAATTAGGAGAGGCTCTTACCTTGGCTGCTACATTGTCATAGCTAGTGGGGTTCATGACATCGTAACAAATTAACACGACATTTGTGTTCTGGTAAGAAAGAGGTCGCAGCCGATCGTAGTCCTCCTGCCCTGAGACACAGAGAATGGTTTGGATAAAAGAAATCTCTGTCCTGAACAAGCAGTATGATGGGAATATGCACAGACACATACTTGAGACCAAGAACAATGGCACTATAATTGTACAGACTGCAAGTTTTTCATACTTGTAAAATTCCTTCCCTTAAGTACAGGAGCTTCCCCTTCGATGACAAAGCTGATGGTTTACAGTATAAAACACGTAACAGTAATATTAAACCTGCAGAGGTTTTAATAAAAAGCCTGCTTTATCCACCTGCTAAGGACTTAGAAGCAGTTCTAACCATTGATTGCCAAGTTGCTGCTCAAAAGCAAAATCATCAAGAGGAATCTGACGGTTATTGATTAAAACATTTGCAATGTGGCAGTGGCTGCTGCATTCTCCCAAATACATTTGTACATGTGATGCTGTGAGGAGAAGAAACACTGTATTTGCTAGACACAAATGCTGAAGCAGAAAATAGTGGCAAACCTGCTTTTCCCAGCCTGGTGGGATGAGAGGAAGCAGAGGTTACACATGGTGCCTTCAGCTGCAGCAGCACACACAGGGTTGTACGAGCCATGCTTGTACAAGCCATGCTGCAGCATAAGCCAGGCTTAGCTGGCCTTTGAAGCAGGACTCCCCAGCAGATCTTAAGGAATTCTGCTGAAGTCTGGAAAAGCAGGGGGATTTGCCATACTTCTGATTAGGGATATTCTAGCACGTGATGTGACAAGAGGAAGCTGATTTGCTTCAGACCTGTGCTCTTCCCCTTGCTGTACATATGAATGTGCAATAATCACTGTGCTGGGGTCTGGAGGTGTCTTGCTTTGAGAGATTAAGTTCTGGAAAGCAGTAATTCCCAGATATGGTTGGCGGTTCAGGGGAAAACCCCAATCTTTTTCATTTAATGAGGAAGAAAGTCTGTAAGAAGATGTATTTGCCACCTGAATGCTGCTGCTGGATTCAGGTACGTCTCTGTGATGTACTGAATTTCCAAAAGGAGAACTGGGAATGCTGTTCCTTCCCACGATCACCACAATCCACACACAGCCAAGAAACTGCCCTACAGGGAAGTTACACATCTTAAATCTTCCTACTGATATTTCAAACGAAGGGATGTGGAAAATTTCAGTGTGCCCCAACTTTACAGCAACGATTCCTGCCCTGGCAGCCGGCTCAGTCCCAAGTCACTCATCACTACCAACATGTTTGTCTCCAGTCTGAAGAACTGCAGATATCAGAAGGCTGATAATTCCACAATATTTTTCTCCTTTCCTTAATTTAAATGATCAGTTGAGATGCAGATTATTCCAAGGCAATCCCTGCTGGATAAGCCGTTACTCAGTTTGCCTGAGATGTTTGTGAAATGGGAATCTTGGGTTTGCACCACTTTGTATTTGAGCTTCTGCAAGAGCAGTGTGTTCCATGGGGAGGTGTGGAACAAAGAGGGTTTGATTCCTCAAGGTTTAATCCAGAAATAATTGACAAAATTATGCATGTTGTATAAACAGAGCAAAGACCATACTGCTTATCCCTTCTTATTCTCCCAATCCATCTACTTGTTTGCAACCGATTTACCATTTTACTGCCGAGATAATCCTCTAAATGCATTAAACACATCATGCACCAAACTTTTTTTCCCCTCCTAACTTCCTCTAGTGTTGTGTATGGTTGTCCCTGTTCAAGTTCAGGCCTCTCAGCTTTCAGCAACGTAGCTTATAAAATCAAAAGGTCCTCCAAGTTGTTGTTGGCAATTTGTGAGGTGGGCAGGACTGTCCCCTTGGGAGAAACACACTCATTTGCTTGGAATCAGAACATACAGCTAAATTCATACTCTCCTGGATGAAAAAGAGAGCATGAAAAGATGCTGAAAAAGCATCTTCAGTGATGTGATTTATGTTGTATTTCAAGTCAAGAACTATAGATATGCCCTGGTGAACTGTTCCTTCACCTTCAAATGCAGCTGTGCAGTTATGGGGGTTATAAAGCAAACTGAGACAACAAATGCATGAGAAAATGCTGCTGTACAAAACACACCTCCATGTGCATTTGGACTGTTGGACACAGAGCACAGAACAAGTCAGAGTGCAGGGACCAGAGGGGGAAGGTGAGGTGGCAATTGCTTCCCTTGTGTCACGGTTGGGTGGTTGCAGCTCACACAGAAGGAGAGGAAGCTGCTCTTTAAGAGCTCAGTTGCAGCTCTTCAGTTCTGAGGATGTAACGGGACCCAGACCAAGCTGTGCCTAAACATAGACATCCCTCTCACTGAAAACAATCCCTTTCACCCCCTGTCCTCAAGTGCGGCTGATGAAATGCAAGAAAGGGCCTGGGAGACTTTTTCTCTCTAAAGCTGCTCAGACTGTGGTCAGAGTTAATTTGGCACAGATTTAAGCCTTCTGCTAGAATAATTTCAAAAAGAAGGAACAGGGCTGAAAATAAGCAGTAACTGAATGTATATGCAAAGCCCCTGTGTGTGCTTCCTCAAACACAGGTACCTGTTTTCTTTCCTCAATTAACAAAAAACACGCTGTGGAGGAGTTAAATATCTGCATATGTGTGAGCACATCTGTGACTCCTCTGCCTTTGTCAATTCAGTGTAGCATCAGAGACTTTGGGGTTTTTTAAAGAAAAAAATCCACCTACCTGAATTCACCTAAAATTTGCTAATTCTTTTCAAAGCTCCCACTCCTGTATTCCTCTGGGAGATGCTGCATAACCCACATCACTGCAGTCAGGCCCTGCAGTGGGGTGGGAGCTCAGGGGGTGGGTGAGAGTGAGCAGGAGAAGTGAAACCACAGGTCTTGGTCTCACATGCATGTTCACCTCTGTCTGCTTTTCCTCACCCCTTTGCCAATTCAACACCAAAGGAGTGCCAGCCTGTGTGTTGCTCAGTCCATAAAGGAGCTCAGCATCCATTGCCAGGAGAGGGTAAATGACAGAGTCAAGACTTGACAGGCCAGGAGTGCCCAGTATATGCTGCCCTAATGTCCAGCAGTGCTGTCCAGCTCTGGAGGGTCAGGAATAATGTCACATTCTGCTCCCAGCCCAGCCCAGCACTTCCTACACATGGCCATGCATTGTCTGTACTGTCCCACATTCATTAGGACCCACATGGAACCCTGCAATGGTGAGCCCTCACAGGCACACAGAAATGCACCCAGTCTTCTTTGGTTTGTTATTCCACAGGCTCCACAGGAATGCCATGGTTAGTAGGTTGCCAGCTATGTTTTTTCACTACTCAGTTTAAAAAAAAAATTGGGAAACAGACATTCTTGGCAGGAAGAAAACCAGCAGAAGAGGACAGATAGGGCAGGAGGAGCACACTGCAATCAAAAAGTTGGGTTTTTTTTTCTTATTCAGGCATGACTTCCCTTTCAAAGTTATGAAAACTTATTCTTGCATTCACTGTCTTTTAGAATTCCTCTGAAGGCCTGAGACTGTCGTGCATCTGTCATCGCAGACCTGAAAAACCCCGCTGGAGGCTTTGCCTGTGCTTCCTGTCAGGCAGAGCGAGCACCCACAATGATGAGGCATTACTTCCTCCCCAGCCTCTCCCAGCCCAGCACAGCTCGGTGAAAAAAGTGAGAAAGTCCTGCACTGAGTGGCACCAGGAACTGAGCCTTGTGTCTGAACTGCAGCTGCAGCATGGACACTGCTCCCTTAGTGTGTAAAAATAAGAGTTCATTTACCTCTCAGTGCCTTTGCCTCTGTGGAGCACAGCTCAAAATGGAAACTTTTAACTGAACAAGCAGCTGCAAAGCCTGTTTGCAGACAAGGCAAGTGATATTACAAAGCCTTTATCCATTGCGTATGTGTACCACCAACTTCCTGCAACAGCCAGAGGTGCCTGAGGAGGAAGACAGAGCAGCACAGCAGAAGAGTCTCGCCAAAAATTGTTAGTCTATGATATTTTAGACTAATTCCTTCACTTCACTTGTTACCAAAATTCTCATCAACAAAAAGTAGCTTGAAATGTTTGATTCTTAGGCACTTTGTTTGTGTCCTTCTCCTTCAGAAAGTAGGACAAGCTTAAAGGCTCAAGCTGCACAGGACTTGACAATACAAAGAACTCTTCTAACTTTAAACTGAGCTGAACCCATCTTTTACCTTCCCATGATGCTGAAGAACACACAGCTCTATCTAGTGTTGCTCTGAGCAAGATCCTATAAATACTGAAGTCTTTTCTGCAGTGGGGGAATCCAGTGTTACTTTTTAGAGTAACAGCTTTGCCTTCCCCTCCCTTTCCTCTTCTCTCACTGCACTATTTGAACTTGGAGGACAGGACACAACTCTTGGTCCTAGTCAAACCCTTAAGGAACTCAACACCAGTTTAGTATTATTAAAAACAGGATGGGATTAAAATGTGTGCTCAAGTGAGTCCTTCCTCTAGCATGACTTCCAGTTACAGAAAGATGATGAAAAGCTGCTTGAATTAGAGTCTGACACAGATATGTAACATAAAACTATGTAAACAGCTTTGAAACGGAACCAAATTTCCCCCTCCCAATCAAATGCCTTAACCAAGGTGACAATCTCCCTGCTTTCTTTGCACCTAATCATCTTGCTGTGCCTCACGAAAAGCGAAAGAAATTAAACAGGAAGGGAGGAGACAAGTGTCAGCAGCCTCTAGAAACTTGTAGCCTTGTGGCTACAAGTTTTGGGAGGTGAAACGTTGGGTTTCAAGGTTTCCAAGTGAGAAACGGAAAGCAATTGCTCTTCCGTGGCAACAGTGGCAGCTCCACTTCCCAAAGTGTCTCAGGAGACACAAAATACACCTCCCTGTTCTCCAACGGGGCAGTGCTTTGGTCCAAGACAATTTTTAGAGCTATGAACTAAATGTGGAAGGTACACACTGTCTGCTGGTTACATGCATGAACAGGGAAATTATAGGACGTGAGGTAATGGTTTTAAACTAACAGAGGATAGATTTACAGTAGATAGAAAGAAGAATTTTTACAATGAGGCACAGGCTGCCCCATCCCCGGAAACACTCAAGGTCAGGTTGGACGGGGCTCTGAGCAACCTGATCTAGATAAAGATGTCCTTGTCCATGGCAAGGGGGTTGGATTAGATGACCTTTAAAGGTCTCTTTCCACCCAAACTGTCCTGATTCTGTGATAAGCCACCAGCACCAGGCTCAGAGAGCGTTCCCCGGGCTGCTGGTGGCTGCAGGTCTTGCGCAGAGCTGGGCTCTGTGTGATGCAAGGAGCGAGCACGTAGGTCAGGAGAGAGTTTAGTGCTGCAATCCTGGACCTGCCCTACCTACTGCCATCTCCAGATCCAGCTCCAAAGGCAAATGTTGGAATTTGCAGCATGGTGATTTTTAAATGAGAGCTAGGAACTGTGTGACAGGCAAACACTCCACACCGACAGCAAACAAAACTCGAGAAGTTCTTTGTGTCAACACACTGTGTTAAAGAAATCCCTCTTTGGTTGCTCACACCAGATTTTCAGCCCTTCTCTTTTCCTTTAGGACAAATACAAACCTCTGGCCATTCAGTAGAAGCTACTGCACTCGAGAACAGTAATGTTGACACAAGAAGATACAACAGCAAATTGGGTGCTCATCATCTTACTGTCCTGTAGTAAAAATTAGCAATAAAATTCACTTCTAGATTAAAAGTCTTTAAAATTATCTTTTCAGATACCACATGCAGTATATAAGACAGCAAGTGCATTTTACTGCTATTAAATTGACTGGACTGCATTCGGTTCTTATTTGTCTTGGTGTAAATTTGGAACAACCCCACAGGCTTGAACTGAAACAGATGATTTACACTGAGCTGAAACAGAGCACGTGTCAATTTTAGGGTTCATTTAGGAGTACAGCTGGATAACAGAGTCTGGGAACTTTGAGTGAAGTTGAACACAAACCATTTCACAAGTTCCTCAAATGAACCTGAACAGACTATCAGCATTTTCAAATAACTTTTACTGCCATGGCCTTTTTATTTTGAACACAAACCACCCTTTTTCTCCTTCCCTATTCAATCACACATGGCAGCAGATTAAAATATTTTCCCGGTTGATTCTATTATGCTTTGCATGTGGGAACTGGGTTTTAATACCGCCAGATATGTTTGCTATTTGGTGTGTGTTTCTGAATCAACTGAGTTGTTAAGATAATGGACAAGTCCATGACCAGAGCTGTCATTAGATAAGTGACCCTTTTTTTTCTGTAAAGCACATTTTTGTTTGCAACAGGTAATGGTGGTTGTTTTGTTTGTACTTTAATCTCCAGCAGTCTAAACTGTGATATTATGTTAAAAGTACACTCACAGAGAAGCAATCTGAAAATCTGTCCAGCTTTACAATCTTTAAATATTGGTTTGGTTTAAGTTGACACAGCAAAACCTTCTGGAGAGGAAGAAGGAAAGAAATGGGGGCACACTCACCAGAGCAGCATTTTACAGCAACAAACGCAGTTTCTGGTTATTTGCCTGAAGTTACGAAAGGCCGGGGCCGGGTTTGGGCTCAGTCCCAGGCCGGTGCCCCGGCGCGGTCCCATCCCAGGGCCGCAGAGGAATCGCCTCGGCAGCCCGACTGGGACCGGGGAAATGGAAGGCACAAGGTGAAAAGCCCCTTACCTGCGGTGTCGTACAGGTTCAGAGTCACCTCCTTCTTCCCCACCGTCACGCTCGTCGTGTACTTCTCGAAGACGGAGGGCGCGTATTGCTGCAAAGGGAGGAGAAGGATCGCGATGACCTCAGAGACCTTTTCCAACCTCACTGATCCCGTGGCTCTGAGGAGCGGTTCTGGCGGGCTCCAGGGGCTGGGGCCGGCCCCGGCCGCGGCCCCCCAGCCCCGCGGGGGTGGCCGCCCCTCACCTCGGGGAAGGAGCCCTTGGCGTAC